CTTTTGCATCTACCCCCAGAGAAACGTAATATTTTAATTCCAGAGACTGGTTTTTATTCGGCATAAAATGTCAGTAAATGAATAATGCAGCGGTCTTGAAAAGAAAGTTGTTGAGAGTGCGTATGAAGCCTGTGACCTCTATGACAATGCATTGTTTTGAGAATTTAAGCAATATTTAAATCTTAATGTATAAAAACAAATATGTGTGAATTCCACACAAAGCAGTGAAGTGATTCCTATCAAATGTTGTGCAAATATTTTGTAGCAGCCTAAAACAGAAATGAAGGGGAGAGATAGTAGTGTTATGTAACCCCAAAATGTTGCCTCAAATTTGGTATCGTCCTAAAATGACTATTTCTGGAAACGATATGACCCGCATGCAGACGGCTGCATAGCTGCCAGAGGGGGTGGCGGAATTTTAGTGCTATTAGATATGATTAGTAGACACAGTGTTAAAAGAAGATTGTGAAAAATACAAAAAGAGAAAACGGTTGAAAATGAATTACACGTTCACAATATGGGATCAAATATTAAAATAAATTCATTCAGTCAATCACGTAATTTTGAAATAAACTATTAGTATTATTAGCATATTCAACATATTAAAAGATAATCATTGAGAAAACAAACTTCAATTCATGTTCGAACTACCTACAATACCCATTCTCCTGTATCCGAAACGTACGACTGTTCTTGAAAACACTCGTACTTATAGGGTTTTTCACAGACGAATGGAATACACTTTCTCGATGCCAAGGATAGTCAGATCATATTTATTTCAACATACCGATTTCGAATTTTGGCACTGTAACGGTTCAAAACAAAAATTCAAGTGGAATATTTACTTGCTTTAAGAATTGAGTAAAAATACGATAGGAAGGAGTTGAGGTCTTTAGAAACGTGTCGTTCTTAGTGAAGGTTAAAAAACGTGAGGTATTTTTAGATGGAAAGTTCCTCTGTGTGGTGTTTTATTTTTCTTCTAAAAAAGATTGTTTTCATTCTGTTTACTTTTGAAAATAAGTATTGCAGATTTTAATTGTGGGAGAATATTCCTCAGTGTGACTGGAGCGCGTGGTATGAAAAGGTTCTTTTAAGATAGTTAACGTCAAAATATATTATTTGTAAAGGAAATCCCTCTGTATACAATATACTAAGAAGTGACGCCTGTTTTCGATTTTCTTCAATTTGTATGAATCCAACGACATAAAATCTCTTAGTTGTGCAACTGAATAATGTAAAATTACCATCTAGAACTGCAGCTAGACATTGAAGATGAAAAACAAAGAATATCAACTTATAGGTATAGGCTCATGAGTATTCAGCCTATTTGCAGTTTTTTCATTTATTTTTACCTATTGTTTAATCTTTTGCGGGGGCTTACATTAGAAAACTTTTTATAAAAATCCACAAAATGTAATGTTTATGAAAAATAATTTATTCCTAACTACTTGACCAATCATTTTAAATAGATTTGAACATTTGTGTAACAAAGTAAGGTATGCATTGCTAATATCGCATATTTAAATGTGCAAAAAATTGGATTTAAAATATATTCAAAAACTAAATGGAGCCCCGAAATTGGGTACTTTTCTCTACATTTCTCTGCAAACCCTTTTCCACCGATCAAAACTAGAAACATATGCATACTTGGGCCTTACAATCTGAATTTCGTGCGCCAAAGGGACAAGAATTTAAATTTTTAATTTTTGTGATAATTCTGAAAACATTTAGGCTTCATGCAAATTACTTTCTCAAATCAAAATAACCATTTTAAATTCAAGGTTCC